CTACCGGCGCCCCGGCAGGCCCCGGGCGCCGGCTTTGCGGCAGGGCCACGGCGGTTTAAACATCCCCACGGCAAGGAGGGCGAGCGCGACGTGAGCCGCTCCGGGAGGCGCCATCCTAACGACGTCTGCATCCACCCCAGCAAAAAGAAAGAAAGAAAAAAAGAGAAAAAACCCTCAAAACAAACTGAACAGTCCCAATGCCGTCGTCCCCGGCTGTTCCCTGGGCGCAGCGGTGTCTGCGGGGCCGCAGCACCCCCTGGTGCCGCCAGCCCCGCTCGGGCAGCGCGGCCCTGCCAGCTGCGCACATCTGGGGCTGGCAGCGGCTGGTGCCGCGCGGGATCCGGCTCCGGCTGCTGCTCTGCCCGGGAAAGCGCCTTGGGAATGGTGCGGAGCGGGGCTGGGAAGCGAAGCCGCAACCCCAGCGGTTACTTGGTGAAACTCGGCCGAGCCCCGCGGTGCCGCTGTCTTGTTCTGTGGCCATGGGCAGAGGATGCTGCGGTGCGATGCCCCTTTTCCAAGATTAGAAAAGGAATATTGCTACCTCCCCCATAGCATTGAGCTGCAGAGGGTGAGTCTGTGCAGAACATGCAACAGCTGCAATGAGGAAGAGGTTATAGGAAAATAAATTGTTGCTGTATTTGAAGCACATAGAGACACTGTAAAGTGATAAGCTACTTGTTGCAGTGAGAGGAGAAAGGAGACGCGTTAACTTTATTCTCCTCGTGGCATTCCCAACCCTGAACAGTGGAAATGCTAAGAGAAAAACTGACCTTTTGCCATTTCAAAATGAATGCACATCCCACAAGTGCATGAAAAAAATGTCTTTCTACTATCCCACTTTCTGCACAAGTTAATGTCATTTCCATGAAAAAAATCTTACACGGGCAAAGACTGGGTGTGGGAAACTGAGTGTGTCCTATCTAGGCTGAGCAGAGCCTCGCTGCAAGCGCGTCCCTGCAGCCCTCAGGAGCACGTTACTGAGGGCCAAAATCCACCACGCAGCCGCTCTGATGAACTGATGCTAACTAGTAACTAACAAGGGAAGAAGTGTGCCCTGGTGCAGGGTGGGGAGGATTACGGGTACAGCAGGACTCTCTAAATCTTGCAGTCTTTGATCATCTAGCTCCTGTCCCTGCTATCTGATTGTCTCCGTCTTTGGACTTCCTAAGAATGAATGTTGGGCTTTGCTAGGTGGGGCTATGAGATGCAAGGGGTGCCACTGCGAGCACTAACAACCAGGGGCTTTCCTCACTTTCCCGAGGAATTGCAAATGCTTCTTGAAATCCACTTTTTTTTTTCCTAAGAAAAAGCTTTTAGAAAAATAGCCTTTCAATCTTGCACTGAAATGCATGACCTTTCATATCTCTAAAAAAGAAATCTCTGGAATATCATACACAAATTTCAGTTATTAGAATATCCCTTACCTCAAATCCTTTCAGTATTCCCAGCACAGGCTAACATAGGAGAAAGAGAAGGTCTGTACTGAGTCCCTGTTCTGGATGTTGTGATGCTCAGGGTTAGTTAACACGACTTTGCAGAGATGCTCACCCCGGGGTAGGACCAGCGGTGCACATGAGGAAAGCAGGGACCCAGCAAACTCGTTTCACAACCACTAGTGCCTGAAGACAGCTCTTAGACGAGCTATACTCAAACCTGGCGCTGAGGAGCTCACTAGCCTCTTACCAGCTTGGAGTAATTTTGTCCCCTGGAGTCAAGCATGGCAGCAGGACACCCATAAATATGTCTACAGAGCGTGATTTATTCACAGGGGAAGCCATGGAAATTCCCCAAGCCTCCTAAATATCTGTTTCCTGGCTCTAACTAGTCAATAACTTGCCAACTGGGGAATGTATTTGTCTGCTTCCCTCCATATATTTTCTGCTTTTCATTATAATTTTCTAAATAATACATTACAATGAGTTATTTATCACACTCAGCAGCTTTGTGATCCCCCTCCATCCTGAGGAATTTCACCAATAAATCAGTTGCACAAATATCTGGCTGGGGTTGCCACAGCCCCGCGCGTGTTCTCCATCCACATGCGCAGCGAGACCCAGCCTTGACATTAAGGAGCCTTTCTTGGCCCTAGAATAGCTGCGTCCCTCGCTATTGCTCCTCTCCTTGTGGTCCTCCCGTGACTGCCAGCCAAAGGGCAAAGGGGGAATAGAAATAACAAAAGACAAAAGCAATGCACAAAGCAAAGCAAAGAGCAGCTTTGCTTGGAGCTCCGGGTCTCCTGCTGCTACCGTTGGGACTAAGTCGGTGGGAGAGGCAGAAATGGCACCGAGAGGTAAATGAAAGTGGAACAGAAGGAAATGAGAACTCTGGGGGTAAAAAGAGGTTCTACAGGACTGGGCAGTTCAGTCCTATTCAGAGGAAATGCTGAGTATTTTTGGCTAAAGTGCCCGAGTGCTTCAGGTTCTACCTCTGCCAAAGGCAAATGTGCCCCTGTGAATCAGGGAAGGAGCAGGGACACTGCGGGTCACAGCGAGGACACGGCATGGGCACGCGGGGACCGCTCAGCTCTCCGAGAGAGACCAGGATCATCATGAACACGGAAAAGTATCTCCATCCTAAGTGACATGGTTCAAACATACCTTGTGCTCTAATCCTGTCCCAGGAGAGCTCCGAGATAGCATCAAGCATGATATGGAGGCTTCCCTAGACCTTCCTATTGCTCTGCACTGGAGGAGAAGGCAGGACATGGGGCTTTCCAGACGGGATCCCAGCACTATGATGCTGTTTGCTCCCAGAATCATTCCCAAAGGCGCCAGACAGCTGACGAACGAGCTGCAATTAGATCGCTTTGTCATAGAGCCATAAAGGCTTGCACATGTTGGCACTCACTGAGGGGCACATCCTGATGGGGAAACATCCCAGACACCTGCAAATATGTAAATACTTTAAGTGCTCTTAAAAAGGGAAGAACAAAAGGGCTTCTGTTTCGCTCTGATTGATTTGCAAGTGCAGGAGCTGCAACCTGGAGGTGATGAAGCCCCCAGCAGCACCCGCTCTGCTTTGTGCAGGGGAGACGCGAGGGGAAAACATCCCCAGCACTTCACCCCGCGTTTCGGGCTCCCGCTGGCCTGGCTGCTGCAGCCAGGACCTGTCCCCATCAGAGCAGGGCCACGTGGGAGCTGCTGCTGACATCCCGGGAGCCGAGAACGGCGCTCGCACCAGCACGGCTCGCGCCGGGCGCGTGCGCGGGGAACAGGAGCTGTTTTTGCCAAGACGCCGCATCCGGAGGAAGAGTTCTGCTGCCGTCGGGTTTTCGCCTCCCTGCACCAGTTGAGTACGTGGGGTGAGAGCAGCGCCAAGAGAGTCTGACCGTGTTCATTAACTCCTTGAGCACTAATTTCTAAACCTTCACCATCTGCTGGAAGGATTTTCAGAAGCAAATGAATGGAATCTGGGGCAGTGGATTTGCGTACGTGGCAGTGGATCAAGCTGGCAGGAGCTCCGTGCCGGCGCGCAGCCTGCGCACGCGTGTGGGCACTCACCGTGGGGACTCGGGGGACGCTGCCACGCCGGCAGGCACCAAGGGGCAGTGTGAAGAGATCCCAACCTGAAACAGAGCCAAAGAAAGGAGAGAAGTAAGGTAGGGGCTGGAAATTTGGAAATAAAGCCTTTTCGGCACTCGAGAAACGAGCTGTTTGTAAGTGAATGGGCTGGCTTGAGGAAATTTAGGCATAGCGGCTGCAAATTAGCGCTGTTCCTTCTCCTAAACTTGTATGAGATCATTCCTTTTCTCTTTTTTTTCTCCCCAGCTTGTAAAGCAACTCAGCACCGACTGTCTTCCCAAGCATGGCCAGGAGCGGAGCCTGGGGCACAGCGCAGAGACGAAGGCGCAGAGCCTTCCTCCCCATCACCACGCTCAAAGGAGCAGAGCCTTCCTCCCCATCACCACTCAAAGCAGAACCATCCTCCCCATCACCACACTCAAAGGAGCAGAGCCTTCCTCCCCATCACCACGCTCAAAGGAACGGAGCCTTCCTCCCCATCACCGCTCGAAGCAGAACCATCCTCCCCATCACCGCTCGAAGCAGAGCCATCCTCCCATCACGGCGCTCCACAGGAGCCACCACTGCAGTCACATCCTGGTGACAGCCATGGGCCCGGTCCCGATCTCAGCCCCGCGGCGCTGCACGGTGCCCAGTCCGTGATGCACAATTCCTGAGCCCTTACTGCCATGAGAAATCCTGATATAAAAGGAAATGCGGTTTGGGGAGGGAGGGAGCGCATCTTCCATAATCACATTTTTCCGGCTCGGTGGCAGCAGAACGGCTGTCAGGACGCGTTACCGTCCGCGAGGCTCTCCCACATCCCACCCGCTGCCCCTTCGCGGCAAGGAGAACAGGAGCAGGACCCCAGTCGTTCAGATCCGGCACCACAGAGCTCGAGTGCAAACCTGAAACCAGACGAAGCGAATCCCTCATCCCCACCGCGCATCCCACCCGGCCTCTGCTCTTGGTCACAGCTCCAGTTAGCAGAGAAAACCCAGCAAAGGCTGGTGACAGATCCGAGCGACGCAGGGACACCCTATGAGCCGTCAAACGCTCTCAGTAAATGCAAGGTGAGGGAAGAGCTCGACAAACGGCAGGTTTTCATCGCTGGAGAAAAAAAACATGGCCAGGCCCAGACTTCAATCACAGACGACATGAGGGTAAAAAAAAGTTAAGATTACTCTGTCTTATTTAGTAAGTATTTGCATGCTACTTTTCAAGCAAGCTGCAAACTCTGATTAATCTAACTTTACAATGTCTATCTTAAATAAATAACAACTTGCTTTTCAGGTGGGGAATCGGAGGCATAGGAGGCAGAAATGAACTGTTCAGTATCTGCAGCAGAACCAGGAATGAAACCCTCTCCCTGTGCTTTAACTACAAAATCATCTTTCCTCATTAGCAGCTAATCAGAACTACCAGAGGGGAAGAGATTACAGAAAGGGTGGAGAGGGGAGGAACTGGGAGAAATACAGACATCAAAACAGATTTTCATTTATTTACTCATTTATCACAGTGAGGCACAGGCCTCAAGCTCCTCCAAGGCTCTATTAGCCTTGCAGGGTTTTGGGATGCCCTCTCCAAAGTCCAAAAGGTTAATAGCTTAAAAGCCACGTACTGTCTCAGGAAAGAGGAAATCTGCAATTCTGGGCTGGTTTCTGGAAGTCTTATATTGCTTTGCCTGCTAGATTATAAGAAACCCCTAATCTTTACTTGCCAGCTTCCTAATCTTTATGGGGACACAGATAAAAGTTATCGGAAACTTGCTTATTAAAAAGCACCCAACATGCATCGCAGCAGACTGGGTCAGTGAATTTTAGGCTGTTTCTCTTCACTTTTTGCCCCAAAATGGTTTATGAAAAGCTGGGTGTCTTACTAGGGCAGACAAAGAACCTCTAACCTTCAAACTTTCCTTCTTCCCGTTGTTTCATGTTGGCTTTTCAGAGCCAGGAGGCAGCCGGGGTCCGTGGCTCACCGCTCACAGGATGCACAAGCTGCTGTGGTTCATGTTCTCTGTGAGAGCAAGCGGGTGTTTGCCCCAAAACCTGCTTTAAATGGGGACGAGGAGGGTGCGGGGCCGCTCCGAGGGGTCACTGTCCGCACCAGCCTCCCTCGGATCTCCCGCTTGGCGCAGGATGCCGCGGACGGAGCGAGGGACGTTCCGAAACACCGGGAGGAAACCGGGCCTTTGTGTCAGACCCAGGGAGGAAACCCAGGACCCGGGGACCGAGGCGCCTTTCCACTTCAG